GCGGCCGCGGCGGCGCGGCGCCGCCGTGAGGGAAGGGGGCGCCGGCGCCATGACGCCCCGACGGGGCGGGCGGCGGGTACCGGGATCTCGCGGGGCTCGGGGCGGGCCCCGCGCCGCCCTGCGGCCGCAGCGCGAACGGGAAGGCCCCGCTGACCCCTCTGCGGCAGGGGTGCAGGCGCTGGGCGCCCGCGGAGGCCCCGGTCCTCCGCAGCAACCGCCCGGGCTCCCCCGCGGCCCGCACAGCTGCTGCCCAGCGGGGCCGCTTAGCCCCGAGCTCGTTATTTACTTACTGCTGTAAAGGAGTAATTAGCAGCAGGGAGGAAATGAGAGGCCCCAGAGCGCAGCGCTGCGCCGGCCGAGCAGGGACGTGGGGCGAGATCGGGGAGAGCCTCCCCGCGGGGAGATAAGTGCGAGGTGAGCCGGCCTCCTCCTGCTGGAGCGATAAACGCAGCACGGGGCTGGAAACGGCCCCGTAGACCCGACCCCTTCCTCGCCCGGCCGGGGGGAAGCGGCTGGTTGGGAGCAGCCCTGCGCTGGAGCCGGCTCTGTGCAGAGACCCTCCTGCTCCTTCCTGAAGGACACCCACCACGAGCCGGGGCTCCGGTAGCACCGGGTCTGGGAAACGGGAGATTTCGACCCCTCGCCCAGCGTGGGCAGGGCCTGTCCTTGACGTGCCAGAGTTGGGCACAGCTCCTGGAGACGGGCGGTTGCCTAAAGGGGCACCTACCCGCGGCCCAAAGCCCCCAAGCTGGAACTGAGAGGCGCTTGGGAAGGGGAAGGCAGCGGGGAGCGCCGGAGCCGAAGGAGGCGCCAGGCAGACGGACGCGGCGCTGCTGTTTGGTTTGAAACCCCGGGCTTTGCACCACCCTGCACACAAGGCGCAGCAAAGAGGCAGCAGCCCCGGGACAAAGGCAGCCACGTATCCCCACCCCGGAGCCCCGGGAACGGAGCAGGGAAAGGCCTGGAAGGACTCGGGGGCAGCAGCCCCCTGCGAGAGGCGCCCCCAGCGCCCTGCAGCAGGGACAGCGACGGCGGTGCCGAGGCTGCTGGAGCAGGATAGACCTGCAGCTCTCAAAAACTGTTTTCACTCCTCCTGACAATTAGTGTTTTCCTTCCTCTCGATCCTGGTCACTTGGATGCTTGCAGCAGCTCCAATGTTGCTTTAAAACACCCCTCTCCTGCTCCCCTGCAGGCACCAAACACAAAAGGGGGCAGCACCTTGGCCCGAAGGGGCCTGCACAGAGATGCATCCCCAGAACCACGGGCCGCCTGCGAACACGGCTCGGTGCAGAGCCCCACGCAGCCGGGAAGGCTCCGGGAACACCCACACACAGAGGGTGAGGAGCAGAGACCGCTTGGAAACACACTTAGAACAAGTGCCCCCCGTTTCCCTTCTTCAGGTTGAATCCCACCTAAGCGCAAGCCCCTGACACCACGTGAGTGCTCTCCAAGCAGCCAGGAATCAGCCTCCGGCCGCCTTGCCACGGACATCTCGCCCCTGCAAAGCACGAGACGCGATTCCCGTGTGCTCCCAACCCAGGGGACAAGGACCAGGCGGCCACTTTCCTATGGAGCGACTTACACCGAGGTCCTCGGCAGCGACAACGCTCCCTCCAGCTGCGAGAATTCATTTCTGGAGACTACGGTTAGTTAACACACGAGCTGAAATTATCCTGGGAACAAGGGGCCCGGCAGTTCGGCCCTTCTTGGTAATTAAAGCTCACCGAAATATCGCACACAGGCTGTATTTAAAGAAATTAAGCTATAATTAAACTAATTATTCGCAGGGGGGTTATCCTCACCGTAGTGGAAGAGAAGGCGGGTGGCAGGGCTAGGCCGGGCATCCCCTCTGCCTGCGGTGGGAAAGAAGGGAATTTTTCCCTGGGTTATGCAGGAGCTGGGGCCAGTGCTCCGGGAACCGGAGGCTCCCTGGAAAAGGAGCTTCCCGTACCTTGGAGCCGTGGGAAAGCGGCAGGAACGCGGCGGGAGGTGGAAGGAGATGCCAGCCTGAGGCAGCGGGGGGTTGCTGGCCAGCTCCGTACGCCTGGAAGGCTCCCGAAGGAATAAGTTATAGGAGATGGAATATCAGGGGCAAGGGAGGCTTCGTGCCTTGCCCCTTCCTCGCTGCCACCCGAGACGCGGCACCCCCAGCCCCACAGACCCTGCTGCCTTGTCCCTTGCTGCCATCGTGTGGCCTCTTTGGCCCTTCCCTTGGAAGCAACGAGGCGCCTGGAGGAGGAAGGATGGACCCCAGCGAGGGGGAAAATGGAGCACCCCAAAACTCAGGGCACGGCAAGGGGAAGGCTCATCCAGGGGCTGTCCCCAGCGGCAGCACGAAGGGGGCTGAGCTCCGCACCATATCCAGAGGGAGCTGGGTGCACATGTAGGTGAGACCCCAAAGAGCAGCCTTGGGTGCCCCCTTCAAGCCAACCTGGAGTTTCAGTGATAAAATCCCCAATTTTTCAGGTTTTCACTTCTCGTGCTGTGTCCTGGTGACCAGCGGAGCTTTAAACTTGACCCTCAGGGCTCAGCACAAGATGCTTCTTCCACCAGCTCGAGCCGGGGCCAGCCCCTTCCTGAGGGGTCACGAGCCCGCACACGCTCCTCCGAATCCTAAAATAAACGCAAAACTAGGTCTGGCCTCACCTTAAATTCCACAGAAATAGAAAGTGCTTCTGATGTTGCCCCTGAGACGGCACCTCTGGCCTGGTTCTCCTCTGGGTTTTGAGGCTGGTCACCAGGCCCCGGTGGGACAGGGAGACGTGCACGTGGAGCAGGAGCATCGAGCACTGGAGCCACCCCGGAGGGCAGTGAGGGGGAACTCGGAGCAGGAACACGGGCCCTCGAAGCGAAGCTGCAACAGGGAGGCTGTTCACAAAGGTGCAAATAATGTATTTTATTCCTTAAAGAAACGCGAGTTTCAGCCAACACGGGCGCTGAGGCTCCCAGCCGGCGGCAGCTGGAATTCAGGGATGCCCCAGATTTGTAGGGTATGGGATTTCCTAGCATGGCACCTCGGTCACTTCCAAGCCCAGATCCAAGGGCTGTGGCTCCTAGAGCCACAGGGCGAGAGGGGAGCTGGGGAACATGAGACAGGTCCAGCCTCAGCCCTCTCAGCCTCAGCCTGAAGCTCAAAAGCATCAGGCTGATGTTTTTCTAACCCTGAAATCACTCGGCAGGCTGGTTCCAAGAGAAGAAACTCACACTTAAAACTAGAAATCCTACAAAAACAGGGCTCACAACAGCACACCGATGTTCCCACTTCCGAAGGAGGCAGCGGGGATCACCCCAGTGCACAAAGCCCCAAGTCTGGAAGAACACGGGAGACTCCCACATCCCAGAGCAGGGCGAGGAGGAGCCGCGGGGCTCCCCACGCCCAGGCTGCAGCAGAGGGAAGGCAATTAATTTGCCAACAAATGTACAATACGGAGCGGGACTGCTGTTCCTGGTGGAAAAGCCTCGTTTGGAAGAGGGCAGCGAATGCCACCTCCTCCCAGAGCCGTCCCCAGCCTCCTCCAAAGGCATCCAGGCTGATGTGGGGAGAGGAGCAGACTGCTCTTCTGGAGTGTGATTCATTTAGGAGGAGCAACTTAGGGAAAAGCGGAGAACTGTTTTTCCTGTGGGAAGTCTCGTCTTGGAATCATCCACAGCAGGCAGAGCGCGGGTCAGGGTGTCTCCTCTCTGCTCCCAGCTCCTAAATGCTGCATTGGAGGCTCCAGACGGACACGTCGGGAGCCTTCCCTGCCACTGCACTCAAGCAGCGCCCAACAGCAGCAGCAACAGGGGAGCTTTGAGCAGGCCACACGGTGAGAAAAACCCCAGGGAAGAAACACGCTCGGGTAAGGAGAGGCATGAAATCAGTCCTAACACTAACCAGAGCCTGGCTCTCGCGGGGGTTCTCCCCAGGGCAGCCTGTCCACTCACTGGGCAGCACGGGGGCTTCGTGTCCAGCCCCATGCCCCCTTGCTGAGCAGCTCCCGTGGCCTCCCGCGGGAAGGACGTGGCCTCTCACTGCAGGAAGGCATCCAGTTTGGGCTGGCTGCTGCTGGAGGCGGGTGCCGGCCTGGACACGTTCTTCCTCTTGCTCCTCACGGCCGCCGGGCGGATTTCCGTGAGGTTGGTCTGAAGGTGCAAGCGTCAAGGAGGGGAAGAGCAGGGAAAACGGGAGCAAGCCAGGACTCCCCTCCAGGATCGCAGAACCCAGCGATGTTCCCACCAAGAACGAGCTCCCAGCAGGAAAAGCAAGGCCTGGGGCTTTGCTCCCTATACACAGGAGCTTGGGTGTATTCCAGCCCCAGGAGCCCAGGAGCATTCTCCACTTCCATGCCATCTCCGAGTATAAAATATAGGCACCGATCTCAATGTCTGTGCATCTCCATCCGTATTTCGAGGTGTCTCAGGGCCGTATTTCGAGGTGCTGGGGAAGCCCCAGGCTGCAGCACAGAGCTGCCACCGGAGCAGCCGCTCGCCTGTAACCCGCGCGGCACCTCGCGGATCCTCTTCCGAGGCAAAAGGGGCAGGAAAACCTCTCTATGCTGGGAAAGCTCCCAGCCCGTCACTGCTTGCGGCAACTGGGAGGCCAGTGGCACCTCTGGCTCAGGTGTCCCACACATGGGAGACCTCTGGGCCCACAAGTGAGGAGGGGGCTGCAGAAACCCAAGCCCCCCCAAGGCGGTCATGACTTTCCGGAGACCCAGGAGGCTGAAACAAAAGGCAAAACCACCTCAAAACAGCGCCGGGACCCAAAGGAGTTTGGAAGCCTCAAGTTCAACGCGGACACCGATCCGTGCTGGCCGCAGGGAAGGATACGGGCTGTATGAACTTGGTTCTGCCTCCCAGGCCGTCGTAGCCCACCCTCACCTAGGAGAGAGGGAGAAATGGATGCGTTTGGGCACTTGCACAATGCCCTCACCTGAGTGGAGGGGAAACAACCACAGAGCAAGCAAAAAACCCACCCACCCAAGGGTACGAGCAGAGCTAGGATACGTCGGCATTTCCCGGAGCGGGCTGAGCCTTCCAGGCAGCAGCAAGGATTAGAATTTGGTGCCTGCGACTGAGGCACGCCAGGAAAACGCCCAGCGCTCCGGGGAGGTGGAGCAGCAGGACACAGAGAGTCACCTAATTGCTGCCAGAGAGGGGCCCGAGCATCTGCCCTCCCTGGAGCTTCCCACAGGGGCGGGAAGGAGCCGAGTGGCACCCGGGCTTCGTCTTCCAGGTGCCGCTCCTGCTCCGTGAGCGGCCCGGCGGGACAGGGGCGCGCGGCGGCTCCCCGGGGACGCCCTCGTACTCACAGCGCCCACGTGCTTGCGGGGAGGCAGCAGGCTGCCCGAGGGCGCCTTCTTGGAGAGGACCGAGTTCCGGACGAAGGCCGGCAGCAGCCCCTGCAGGGCCTCGTCCTCCAAGTCGTCCGCCCAGTTCTGTCCCACAAGACAAAGCGGAAAGGCCAGCGGGATTTGAGGACTCGGATTCAGGTACAAGCAGCATTAAGGATGCAGGCAGCGACGTGAACAGTTAGTTACTCCTGTCCCGCGGCTCAAGCTGTGGTGCTTCCTTCCTTCCTTCCTTCCTTCCTTCCCTTCCTAGCTTCAGACCTCCCCCTGGGACTCCCTGCTAGGAAGGGAGGGAGGGAAGAAGCACCCGGCCAGCCTGGCAGAGCAGCCCCCAGACAGACCCCACCCCGTGCATTCGGCAAGGATAATCTGCACGGACACAGCTCTCCCCATCCTCCTTCTCCCGAGGAATTCCAGAAGGCCCCTCCGACCCAGCAATAAACCATTTCCAGGAGCTCCTCAAGCAAAGCTCCTTGGAGGCCGTTCTGAGGCCCCACGGGTGCCCGGTCTGCAGTGGCTGCACCTTCACGGGCAAGTTGTTTCCCAGCCAACTGACAGCCAAATTCAGAACCACTGCAGAAAACAGCAGCCTTTTTACCTCCACTGTTTCCTTCAGAATTTTCTTGGACAGATTTACCACAGGAGGCCTGGAAGAGACCGAGGGACAAGTCAGCAGAGCTTTGCTGCCCAAGCGAGCAGGAAGCTGATCTCCCAGCGAGCTCATCTCACAGCAGCTTTGGAGCAACGGGGGATCACACGGGACATCTGTTTGACCACACACCAAGAGGAGAGACAACTCACGGCTTTTTCTCCAGCTTCTGTCTTTTCGCTGGGCTGGGAAGGGATCGGCAGGGCTGAGGCTCAGGGGTGCCCACATCGAACGTGGCATCCAGATCGATCTCCTCGCTGTGGGCCGGGCGGTGGAGCTTCGGCTGCCGCAGCTCCACGGGCGCGGGGCTGCAGGGACACACAAAGCACGCGCTGGCAGAGGGCCACCAGCAGCCACCCCACAGATGGGGACAGAGGTACAAGCTCCGTTAAGCCCCACAGCAGCAGTGGGAAGGGCAGCGACGCGCTGCTGCTCAGCGTGCACAACCCAGCCTGCTGCACTGGTGCGAGCACGGGCTCCCAGAAAGGGAGGATCAGGAAAGATCAGGCTGGGATCCTCTGCCCGGCACAACCCTCTGCTCCCCAAACTCCAGGGCACGCTCCCTAGAAGGGAGGCACAAGCATGAGGCACCCAGAGGAGCAGTTTCCTGGCAGGACACAGCTGCTAGAGCAGGGGTTGGCAAACTTAGCTCTTTCTTCCATCCCTTCCCAACCCAAACCCTCAAAAATATACCCTTCTTTGCAGAAACCACCTTGCTGGCAACAGGAGAAACAAGAAGGACACAAGCAGCCGTGCTACCGTGATGCCTGCCAGGCCAGAGCATCCTAGCACGACCTGGTTCAATTGTCCTGCACTGGTTAATTCTCCTGGTTAAATTGACCTCTTACTGTGCACCTGTGTGTGTGCCTCTGGATGGACTTCACCAACCTTTCAAAGACCAGTCTGCTCAGGGTCTCTCTGGTGACAGAGGGCACTTTCAGAGTATCCTGCAGGATTTCTATCTTCTTCTTCAAGCTCTGGCGGCAAGAGGGAAAGCAGACGGTGAGAAGAGGTTCTGCAGCAGATACTTTTGCCCCCTCTGTGACGCAGCCAGGGGCAAGTCGAGGGAGACGGAGGGAAGGGGGCCTGGGTGAGCCGAGGCAACCAGAGCCTGGCTCCGGGCTCGGCAGCTGCAGGCCGTGGCCGGCTGCCAGTTACTGCAGCCCGAGCAGCGGCGATGCGCTCACCAGGATCTCCTTATCCGCATTCTTCAGATCCTTCTGGGTGCTTTTTAGCTCCTCCTTTGTCTTCTCCAGCTCCGAGAGCGTTTTCTGCAGCTGCACAGCAAGCACCCCCCGAGGAGCACAGGGCTGGTCACAACACATGCCGCACAGCTCTGCGGCACCCGCCACCGTCCCCACTTTGCCCCAGCGCCCGCTTTTACCCCCCAAAACAGCCCCTGACCAGCTCTGCCATGCAGGGAGCCCCTGGCCAGCCCTTTCCTCCGGCTGCCTGCAGAGGGATCCCCAGGGCTGCTTAACACAGGCGTCTCCAAGAGCTCCCAAGCGTTTCTGCCCCGCGCGGCGGCTTTCCACAGCCTAACGCCGGGCAGCAGCTCCCAGCCTCTGGACAAAGCTGGAGCCAGGAGCAGGCCCAGAGCCGGGCTGGGATCTTCACACAGGGCTGCCTTGCGACCCTTGTCCTCTCCTACCTTGCTGCCGACAGAGAACACTTCCTTTTTCAGCTTCTCCGCTGCCTCGCTGGACGTCTTCCGGGCCTCCTTCAGGTTTTCATATTCCCTGCCAAGGGAGCACAAGAGAGGCGTGCTGTGTTTGCAAGGGAGAACATCCCAGAACATCCCAGTCCTCCCTTGTTTGGGAGCTCTGCGACTGCAAAGCCACTGGGCAAACACCCCGAGCATGAGCAGCTCGTGGAGAACAGAGCCGTGAGAACTGCTGCCAAGCGGGGTCTCAAACATCCCCCTCCACTGGGCAAAATAAATCAACCTGCAGAGGATATCGCACCCAAGCGCCTGGAAGGACTCGGATGGAATCCGAATCCAGAGCTATCCCCGTTGCCAGAGGAAAAGGAGATGGACAGAGCAGCCCTGCACACGCACAGCATGGAGAGGAGCCGTTCCCGTGGCGGCTCGAGCGGCACCGCAGCGACAGGGGGAAGAGCAGCGGAGCTGCCCTCGCTCGTGGCACCTCCAGCCACGGGAGGCCTCTCCGGGCACGTCCAGCAGGACACGAGGCGGCTCTGCCGAGCCCGGAGCACCTACTTTTTCAGGGAGACCGAGCCCGGAGCACCTACTTTTTCAGGGAGACGCAGTAGACGGCCAGCTGCTCCACGGCCGCCTGCCCCACGCCCATGTCGCGGATCATCTCCTCCACCTCGGGCCGCTGGCCCTGAAGCAGCGCTTCGATCCTGCAAAAGATTTTCCCGCCCCCCAGCCAAGCGGCAAGTCGGGAGCGGGCCGGGAACGGGCCGGGAGCACCCGGAATGGCGGCAGGAGGCCGCAGGCAACAGCACCAGGGGTGTTTTGCTGGGGAAGAGCAGAGCTAGGTGGACAGCAGGGAGCCGTACACACACGCTGCACCCAAATACATATGTATATGTATACGTGCTATATAAATATCTATCTATACACACAGGAATGCGTTCGGGCTGTGCCCTGGCGGCCTCCCTGGTTGGACAGGGCTGTGCTGGGGGGCCTGGACATGAAGCCAGGCTGCTCTCCAGGGAAAACAAGGAGGCAGCAGCAGGAGCCAGGCCATTCCCAAGCCTGACGGGACCCCGGGGCTGGGTGATGCCCGGGGCGCAGCGGGACGCTCCGAGGAGGGGAGAGGCGGCGCGGCCGGGACGCGGGGCCCCGCGCGTCTCACCGCTCCATGCTCCGCAGCTTGTTCCGCAGGCGCCGGGCCTCTTCCTTGGAGCTTCGGGTGTCCTCCTGCTGCTGCTCCAGGAATTTCATCTGCTTCTGCAGGGGAGCGAGCGCAGAGCGTCAGGAGGGCTTCGAGAGAAGCAGGGAGCCATCGGGGGCTCCCACTTACTCCATCCTCGGGACCCGTTTGCCTTTTACAAACAAGGTCCCCACAGCACGTCTTGTGCTTCAGCCTCCTATTAACGGCAGCCCGTAGCCGCTAAGAGCACCCGCAGAAACGCTGCACAAGAGCTCAGCCAAAGAGGACACACGCCGGGGCGCTCTCCTCACCCTGCTCCAGCTCCGCCCCGGCATCACCCTTCCTTCCAGCTCTGCAAGGAATGGGGGGCATCGAGAGCGCCCCTCAGTTGGGCCGAGCTCAGAACCCTGCCCGAATTAGCCCCTTTCACACGAGAGGCTCCGCGCCTGCTTTTCACACAGCACTCGCTCCACGGGAAAAGGCTGCTCAGACTAAAGCTTCTTAAGGTCTAATATTAAGCTCCTCTTTCGCCCCGAAGCCGAAGGATCGTTATCCGCCTCCTGCCAGGGGATGTGGCGCGGTGGGAAGCGGCCGGCAGGAAAGACCCCCGGCACCGCATCCCAACTCCCTCAGCTCCGGGGCTCCACGCCAGCATTGCTCCCAGCACCGCATCCCAACTCCCTCAGCTCCGGGGCTCCACGCCAGCATTGCTCCCAGCACCGCATCCCAACTCGCCCAGCTCCGGGGCTCCGCCCTGGCATCGCTCCCAGCACCGCATCCCAACTCCCCCAGCTCCAGGGCCCCGCAACGGCATCGCCCCCAGCACCACATCCCAACTTTCCCAGCTCCGGGGCTCCGCGCCAGGCCACCAGGTACCTTGAGGGAGGAACAGAGCATCTCCGTCTCGGCCAGCACCTTCTGCAGCGACTCTATGGTGGCATTGCGCACGTCCAGGGTGTCCCTTAGCCCGTCCACGAGGTCTTGGCATTCCCGCTTCTCTTTCTCTGGAAAACAAAGGGAGTCCCGAGCCCCACGCATGAGGGCCTCGGCACGAGAGGCGCTGCTGGCTGCAGCCCCAGGGGCCGAGCTCAGCGCCTGCTTCGTTCTCCAGCAGGGATAACCAGTTTCCTGGGACAGCTTCGCCCGGCGCATCCCAACGCCCACGTGTCCCGAAGCAGGGAGAGGCAGAGCCGGCGCGGGCACCCGGAGCCGTTGCCGCAGCAGGAGCGCCGGGAGCTCCCGGGAGCCCAAGGCCAAGTCGTGCTGTCCCGGCTGCCCCTTTCCCCTCCCACCAGGCACGGGGCTCGCGCCTCGGAGCACCAAGGATCCAGGAAACCCCGGATTCAGTTTGGTGGGACACGAGGAACAGCCGACTGCCGGTGTCGGGGCTGGCAGTCCCAAGGGAGCACCCGGCACCAAGGGGAGCCCCACGTGCCGTGAGCGTCGGGAAGCAGCCGAGCACTAAGAGCAGAGGAGAGGCCTCGGCTGCCGCCTTCCCTAAGGCTCCCTCGGCCCCTTTGCCCCCCGGGCCGCCCCGTTTCCAATCGGAAGTGTGAGCGGCACCGACGGAGCCGGGCAGGACCTCAGCGAGGGAGGAACATGCAGGAGCGAGGCAAAGGAGGAACATGCAGGCAGAGGAAACGGTCCCGCACAGGGATTGCTGCCTTGGGAAACTCTCTTCTCCATCCACCCAACAGCCCTTCCCCACGTGAGGCAGCCCAGCCTGGGGATGCTCCCCGGGACGCAGGGACCCCGGCGCCACCAGGAAAGTTGGGGATTCTCCTCCTCCTGTCCCCAGCTGCCCAGAGGTGGGAGCGGGGGCCCAACGTCTCCGTGCTGCTTCCAGCTCCCACGGAGCTCCAGCCTCCAGGGCCCTTTGGGAGCCGCTGAGACAGCGGCAGTTACCGGTGCCTCCACGGAGCAGCCAATCTCTTGGAGGGGAGAATTTCCACTCGGGAGCCACCAGAGAGCAGAGCGGCCGCAGCAAAAGGAGGCAGGAGGTGGGAAGCAGCTTCTCCCTTCCCGGGACAGCGAGCGCCAAGCCCAGCCTCTACTCACCAGGAGCCGAGAAGACGAGCAGGCCTCCAGGCAGTTTTTTCTTGGATAAAATCCTAGCAAGCCTCCCAGCCACCTTCCCCACAAGAGCTGGCTGGCTCCCAAATCCCGAAAGCCAGCGAGGGAAGGGGCTTCCGACGCCGCTCCCGGGGCTGGGGAGCGAGTCCCGCCGCCCGTGGCCGCGGGGAAGGCAGAGGAGCGGCGGCTCTCGGGGCGCGGGGGAGCCCCCACATTCCTTCCCCCCCAGCTCGCGCCCGGCTCCGGATTCCTGTCACTCACGCTGACATTTCCCTCGCGCGGCTCATGACTCATGGGCTGATGACAGGCTGCCTACAGACGGTGCTCAAAACCCATCGACAAGTCTCCAGGGCTTTTGCTTTCCCTGCCTCCCTCCGCCAACCCTCTAAAATTAAAGCTGCGGAGAGGGAAGCGGGCGCATCCGCACGCGCGCAGCGAGCTCCGTCTGCTCCCGGAGCGGCACGCGGGGCCCTGCGACACGCGGGAGAGCTCGGAGTCGCCTCCTGCATCAGGAGCAAGGAGAGGGCCCCACAGCTGCCCTTGCCCAGGGGCAGAGCGCAGGCGGTTTCCAGCGGGAGCACGTTCGGAGCTCGCCATTAGGGGAACACGGAGCGCAGCAGGGCCGAGCAAGCACCCTGCAGGCTGCCGTTTAGGAGAGGTTAGAGCTCAGAACTAGGGTATATCGAGTGCAGCAGGGCCAAGCAACCACCCCGCAGGCTGCTGTCCGGCTTTAGGAAGGGCCAGAGCTCAGAACTAGGGTATAGAGAGTGCAGCAGGGCCAAGCAACAGCCGTGCACTCTGCTGTTTAACTTTAGGAGAGGTCAGAGCTCAGAATTAGGATACCCAGAGCACACAGCAGGGCCAAGCAACCACCCTGCAGGCTGCTGTCTGGCTTTAGGAGGGCTTAGAGCTCGCAATTAGGGTACATGGAGCCCAGCAGGGCCAAGTAACCACCCTGCAGGCTGCTGTTTAGCTTTAGGAGAGGTCAGAGCTCAGAATTAGTGTACCCGGAGCGTAGCACAGCCAAGCAAGCACCCTGCAGGCTGCTGTTTAGCTTTAGGAGGGGCTAGAGCTGCTCCAGCCAAGCAGTTCCCGGTTTCAGAGTGCTCGGTTCCGGAGCGGCCGGGTCTGCAGGGAGGCCCTCGTTCCCGGGGCGCCCCGCGGGCGGCTGCCACTCACCTCTCAGGGCGAGCTGAGCCTTGGTCTTGTCCAGCTCGTTCTGCAAAGCAACAGGGAGCGCCGTGAGCGCGGCCGCCCCTCCGTGGGACGCTGCCCGTGCGGGACGCGGCGCGCCGCTCCGCGGGCACCGGGCACGCGGCGGGCGAGCGGCTCGCCTTCGCCCCGTGAGCCTCGCGCTTCTCACGCCGCCGCTCATCCCGCTGCGGCTAGATCATTTCGGAAGGCGCTCGGGAAACCACGCAGGAGGAATTCAGGCCCTGGTTTACCTAAACAAGGCAGTAAAGCGGGGCCGGGGCCATGCTCGAGGCTGAGCAGCAGCAGCGGGCTGCGTTGAAACGGGGTGCAGGGTGGGGGGAACCAAGATTTCTGCTTCAAACACCCCAAAAGGCAGCAGGGCGAGTGCAGGGGCACCGAGTTGCAGCCTGTTGGGCGCCAAGTCGCCGCAGCCCTGGGCGCTGATAGGAGCTGACAGCTCCCGGGCACTAACAGGTCGCCAATAAATGAATCCGTAGCCGACTCGGGCAGCGTTGACGTCTCCCGAGCGCCACGGGGGCCTGGGGAGGAGCAGCTGCTTCCATCGTCGTCCTTAAAGCGGGAGCAAACGGGCCCCTGCTTAAATTATGGATAACGTAGGAATAGGAGTTGTCAGCGCTGGCCGAGAGCCAAAGGAAATGCAGGGAAGGCGGAGAGAGGGTCAGGAAAACGAAGGCGCCCTCCATCTCTGGAGGGAAAGAGAGGAAAGGCGACGAGCAAAACGCCGACGACGCCTCCAGGAGCTGCAGAGGGAAGCGGGCAGGGACTGCGGAGGAATAAACCCACAATAAAACGCCAGCGAAGAGCCACGCGGAGCAGGCAGAGCCGCGCGGATCCAGCGGCTGCGGGATCCGAGCGGAGCCGCGTTCCTGCCACGGGCACGGGGGTGGGAACGCGGGATTTGCCCCCAGGGGCAGCGGCAGAACCAACCCTGCCGCAGGGAGCGTCCCGGCAAGGCGCTTCCTCGGAGCCTGACGATTAACGGGCTCGCGAGATGGGCTAATTAGCGTCGTGGGGAAGAAATCCTGCGCTTCCGTGAGCAGCTGCATCAACTAAAGCTGAAATCCCTCATCCTGCACCCCAGCGCGTTCCCGTTTCCCCGCTCCGGTGCAGGGGAAGCTCCGGCTCCCCTCCGGCAGCCCCCATCACGAGGCCGGGGGGTTTGCAGGACACATCCTGAGCACGGGCAGCTGTTCCGGAAGGTTTCTACCCTTCCTGGGAAAACGATCCGCAGGAATCCTCTTCCTCCTACCTCTTCTCTGGCAGGCAGAGCCTCCTCACGGCCCTGGCACAAAGGCCCTCACGCTCACAGCTCCGCGCGAGCCCCACTCCGCTGTTAGACCCCGCAACCGTCTCCGCTCCTGCTCGCCCAGCGTGGGGATTATTCCCATGAGCGCGGACCACGTTTAGGAGGGACACAAGGCTAAAGAAAGGCTCAGCACCAGGAAAAGCCTCCCGAGAGGGAGATGTCACGAGAGCCCTCGGCCCCTGACCCGCGATTCTCCAATGATTTAGGGATAACTGACGCCTGGCAGGGGAAGCAGAGCGGCCAGCACGCTGTTGACCCAAAATATCACGGAGTTGAAGCAAAAGTGGCAGGAAACCTCCTGTCTGGAAGATAATTAAGCACTTGTGCATCCTGAAGACGTGGCAGAGGAGGACGTGGACCCTTTGGAAGGCGTCCCCCCTCGGGGAGATGGGGGTTGAGCCTCGCCACGACGGTCGTTCCTAAGGTGCTGCACGGGCGAGCCGGGCACGGAGCAGCCCTGCTCCAGCAAGGAGAAGAGCTCCTTCCAAGGAGAAGAGCTGGCTCTTTCCCATTAGGGAGGCGGACCCGGCATCCCGATCCTTTCCCAGGGAGGTTTTCACCCATTCCCGGGGCGCTCCTGCTGCGGGGACGGATCCGAGCGCTGCGCTCGGCTCATCCCGCCTCCCAAGGCGCCCGCCGCCGCGCTCGGGCTCGCTCCGTCTTAAAAAAACATAGGATGTACATATAGCGGTTGCCATGGCGATGCTAATTATGGTAATTGCTGCACATGCCGCTTGCAAACGCAAGAGGGGACAAGCGTCCCGTGAGAGCGAGGTCAGCGCGGCTCGCGTTCCCTTTGGGAAGAGCCAGCGGCGGCACCCGAGGATCCAGGCCCCGGGAACGCGAGGGGACGGAGGGAGCCCCGCACAGAGCAGGGTCCCCATCCAACAGCTCCAGCCTCATCCCCACGGGAGCAGGGTCCCCTGCTCCCGGGCCAGGACGGGTTGTTGGGATCCGCTTCCCAATCCCTGCTGGGAAAGCCGGGCCTCCTCCGCCCCCCCGCTCCCCGCCACGTACCTGGAGGCTCTCGGCGTCGGGCGCGGCGCGCTCCTCGGCGGCCACGTCGAAGAACAGCTTGTGGATGATGAGCTTCCTGCTGACCTGCGCGCGGCACGCGCCCGCTCAGGGGGGCTCCGCGCGGGCGCCCGTTCCCTGCGCGCCCAGGGCCCCGCGCCGCGCCCCTCCGCAGCCCCAGCTCGGGGCTTAAGGGCCGCCAGTTTAAGCGCGACTGGTCTAAGCCCGGCTGGTCTAGGTGGCCCTGGTCTAAGCGACCCGGGCACGGGAGAGCCCAGGGAACCAGCAAGCGGGGCCAGGAACCGGGGCCGAGGAGAAGGGAGGAAAACGGGAGCGCGGAGGGAGCCCTGGGATGCGGAGGTCTCCGGGGAGTGTTGCTTCCATGCACCCCACATCCCGGGATGCCGAACCCCACATCCCGGGTCCTTTGTGCCCCACATCCTGGGGTCCCAAACCCCACGTCCCGCATTCCCAAACCCCATATCCCAGGTCCCTTGTGCCCCATGTCCCGGGATCCCAAACCCCACGTCCCACATTCCCAAACCCCACATCCCGCATTCCCAAACCCCATATCCCAGGTCCCTTGTGCCCCATGTCCCGGGGTCCCAAACCCCACATCCCGCATTCCCAAACCCCACATCCCGCATTCCCAAATCCCACGTCCTGGGGTCCCGGCTGCGCTCCAGCCCCTTCCCGGCCGCCTCCTTCGCCAGCCGGCACTTGTTGCCCTCAGGCCAGAGGCGGGAGCCCCCCGGGGACCCCCCGGTCCCGCGGGCGGTACCTGGATGCGGCACTGCGGGCACGTGCGGCTGGGCGCCGTGTCGAACCAGCGCGCGAGGCTGCGGGGAGGGAGGCGGCGCGTGACGGCGCGAACGGGCCGGGCCGCGCGCGGCCCCGCGCGCCGCCGCTCACCAG